CATGAAAGCCAACTAGCATGCCGCGCTATACACCAATCATCCACAAAGTGTACAAAGTGGAGGCGATATCGCACAGCACCGTAGAGATGGCCAACTCGGAATGATCGAGAGCGCAAACATCCGCCCATCCATCCGATAACAGAGCTCTAAAGGGACACTCATCAGACTGCGATCCTGCATCGTCCCGATCGACAAACTACCCCTCGCCACCGCCCAAAGGGCCCGGCCCGAGCTTTATTGGCATGATTGGCGCTGACAGCTGCGACGATCCGCATGAAAGCGGCTGCACTAACACCGCACATCCCAGTGTGGGGCGCTCAGCTGTGAGCGCCGTCTGCGTCTGCGCATAGCAGAGAAGACGTAGTCGCGAAGTTGAGCGGAGAGAGCATCTCCGTCAGTCAAGGATTCATGAATGCGATCGGCAAGTCCGTGAGTGTCCGTCAGGGCTTCCATCGTCACGCGCGGGACCGTGAATCACGAATAGGTTTGCTGCTCTGCACATTTGTGATTGCAACCAAGGATGCGCGTATGCATGTGTACCTCGGCGGATGCATGCCCACGCGCGCAAGGCAGCGCCGACGTAGCGAGAAGAAGGAATATGAATGGACTGACGACGACTGTGCTGTGCTGTGCATGCAGCGATTGGTTATCGCATCATCACTTTTGCGCGGCATCCATCGCCTGCAGCACGGCCCATGCACACAGCAGAGGGAAATGATGCATGAGATGCAGCTAATTTTGCACATGTTTGCGCGCACGAGCCATGATGAGATGGAGATGGATGGATGCACAGCTAGCGAGGAAGGGACATTCACATTCATTCAACTTCGGGGTTTTAAAATGCACGCTGCTGTGCAATCGTCAATTCCTCATCTCGTTTGGCAGCTTGTTCGGAGTCCCTGCACTGTCCATGCAGATGCTCTACATTCTTGACTTCCTGGTTCGGCACGCGTGACTCGTGACTATCGGTGTGCAGAGCTTGCCCTCGCACAACACATGCAAGTATTGCATTCATTCACATTGCATTGCACCATCACCTCACAACACCCTCGCCTCGCCTCGCCTCGCCTCGCCTCGCCTCGCTTCGAAGGCCGACGGTCCGAACAAGCGATGCGATGGTTAGCCAAGCATGTGCATAGACGTGTTGGAGAAAGGGGGCGGGGAAAGGACATGCTCAAGCAGAAGCTGCCTTATCGAACCAAAAGTCTAGTCGGAGCGGGGGAACGTTTGCTGCTGCAGATATGGGATGGGAGAGAGGTCGCGCTTTAAAATTCTAGCGTAAATGGTGCATAGCGAGCGCATACATCACCCAGACTTCTACACACACTAGCGCGTTTCTTCCATCCACTCTCACCTCTTCTCACTTGCTTTTGCGCACTCTTTAGCAAGAGCGTGCCGTGCCTATCGAACATCGACATGACGATTGCAAAGGTAAAGCAAAGGTCCTCTGAGAGTCGTTGATCGTGCACGCGCGCCGCTAAGGCACCAGCTCTTCGAATTGGCTCGTGTTGATAGTACCATGGCAGCGGATCGATACGCGAGCATCCAATCACTGCGCGTTGCCGATCGAGCTTGCTAGATTGGTCGTGCGTGCACGGACCGCGCATTCAAGACTCGCAC